TGAAGAAAGGGCGCGAGGAGGTGCGTACACAAAGCCACTCTCCATCATTTATCAGCAGTCCTGGCACACTGGGGCGGTTCTGGCTGACTGGAAGCTGACCTATGTGACGCCCATCTACAGGAAAGGCCAGAAGGATGATACAAGCAACTCCAGACCTGTCAGTCTGACCTCGGTGCCAGGGAAGGTGATGGAGCAGATTATCCTGAGTGCCATCACACATCACATGCAGGACAACTAGGGGATCAGGGCCAGTCAACATGGGTTTATGAAAGGCAGATCTTGCCTGACTAACCTGATCTCCTTCTATGACAAGGTGACGCTTAGTGGACCAGGGAAAGGCTGTGGATATGGTGTACCTGGACTTCAGTAAAGCCTTTGACACCATTTCCCATAGCATTCTCCTGGAGAAACTGGCTGTTTGTTGCTTGGATGGATGTACTCTTCTCTGGGTGAAAAACTGGCTGGATGGCTGGACCCATTATTAAACTGTTCTTATCTCAACCCACGAGTTTTATCACTTTTACCATTCCCATTCTTTTCTCCCATCCTGCTTGGGGGGAATGAACAGCTGTCTGGTGCTTAGTTGCCAGGTAGGGTTAAACCATAACAGTCCTTTTTGGCACCCAATGTGGGGATTGAACCCCTAACCCTGGCTCAGAAAAAAGAGGCAAGTCTATGAGCTTTGGAAGAAGGGACAGGTCTCTCAGGAGGACTAAAAGGATAAAGTGAGATCTTTCAGAGAAAAAATCAGAAAATCAAAAAATTGAGGGTAGGAAGGCTCTGCAGGGATATCTGGACAGGTTCGATCAATGGGCAGCAACCAACTTTATGAGGTTCAACAAGACCAAGTGCTGGGTTCTGCACTTGGGTCACAACAACCCCATGCAACGCTCCAGGCTTGGAGAGGAGTGGCTAGAAAGTTGCCTGGCAGAAAAGGACCTGTTGGTATGGGTCGACAGCCAGCTGAACCTGAGCCAACAGTGTACTCAGGTGGCCAAGAAGGCCAACAGCATCCTGGCTTGTATCAAGAATGGTGTGGCCAGTAGGACTAGGGAAATGATCCTCCACCTGTACTCAGCCTTGGTGAGGCCACATCTTGAGTACTGTGTTCAGTTTTAGGCTCTTCACTGCAGGAAAGACGTTTGAGGTGCTGGAGTGGGTCCAAAGGGCAACAAAGCTGGTGAAGGGTCTGGAGAACAAGTATTAGGAGGAGCAGCTGAGGAAACTGGGGTTATTTAGCCTGGAGAAGAGGAGGCTGAGGGGAGACCTTATCGATCTCTACAGCTACCTGAAAGGAGGGTGTAGAGAGGTGGGAGTCAGTCTCTCAGGTAACAAGTGATAGAATGAGAGGAAATGGCATAGAGTTGCGCCAAGGGAGGTTTAGATTGGTTATTAGGAAAAAAATATTTACTGAAAGGGTAGTCAAGCATTGCAACAGGCTGCCCAGGGAGGTGGTGGAGTCACCTTCCCTGGTGGTATTTAAAAGATGGGTAGATGAGGTGCTCTAGGGACATGGTTTAGAGGTAGAACTGGTACTGTTAGGTTTATGGATGGACTTGATGATCTTAAAGGTCTTTTCCAACCACTATGATTCTATGATTCTAAAAAAGGTTGTAGTTCAGCCTGGAGAAGAGAAGGTTCCAGGAAGACTTTATTGAAGCCTTTCAATATATCGAAGGGGCTTATAAGACTTTACCAAGGCTTGTAGTGACAGGACAAGGGGAAATGTTTTTAAACTGAAAGAGGATAGGTTTAGACTGGGCATAAGGAGGAAATTATTTATGACAAGGGTGATAAGACACTGGAATATGTTGCCCAAAGAGGTTGTGGATGCTCCATCACTGGAAGCGTTCAAGGTCAGGATGGATGGGTCTCAGCAACCTGATTGAGTGAAAGATGTCCCTGTCCATGGCAGGAGGGGGTAGACTAGATGATCTTTAAATATCTCTTCCAACCTAACCATTCTATGATGCCATAAATGAAGTGAACCATTCAATTTCCACTAAAAATTCTCAGACTCCAGCTTGTAACAACTCTTTTGTGCCTTTGAAAATCTGCATCCTCACAGCTTTCTCTATATACCCACTTTCTTGACAAAAGAACCATAGCACCAGGCTACAAAAGGATCAGCATCAATTAGAAGGGTGAAAAGCCTCTATACACTGAAGCTGGAAACAAAGAGCATAAGCAGGGGCTCCCTGCCCCATAGAAGAGCTCATTTACAAAAAAAGTCAGCCTCTTCTGTTTTCGAATTATATAATATTAATTCCTTAAAGACAAAGTTCCTTTGGACCATTTGGCTGGAAAATAAGGACAATTCAATTTACAAATGCTTATGAAGAATGGTGCAAAAGGTAAAATATGATGCACTACTCCTAAAAATTCAAAAGTCATTCAGAAACAACTAGTCATTTTAAACTCAATAAAATGTATTTTCTTTTGAACTTGTCCATTGTCTGATTTATTGTACCTCAAGTGTTTTTGATGGCCTTTTCTATTCTATTATCCTTTCCAAGTCTCTCTTTTGTTAAGCAATACAGTTTTGAAACAACGCAGCTGGTACTCTTGAGACTGTACATTCTAATTAGCTCAACTCCTGCCTCCAAAGGATAATCGTAGTATCAGTAAACCATTTTGCACACAAGTACAATTCTCAAGGTAAAAAAGAGAATCACATTTCCCCAAAAGCATGATAAAAATTTTTTGGTTTGCACTCCTCTATACTGACTTTGAGATTTTTTTACTATTCTGGAAACAGGCACGACTTCAAGTTTGAAGGACAATGTGGGTATAGGAGAAGAATCCTAAAATTCTCTTTGATGCTAGAAACCCTCATTGTATTCCTGCATACTTCCAAATAAAAACTGGAAACAGTAAGTATTACAAGCACGTAATTCTTCTTCTCTTTGGCACAAAAATTGGGGTTTGTTCTGATGAGTTAGAATACCAGTAGTTCCGTAATGACTGAAGAGGAATACACATTGAGGAAAAAAAACATACAGAAAAATGTGTAATGAGGTGACTTTAATTTAGCATACATGGAGGAAATGTGCAACCTGACACCAAGTACAATTCTGGGGACATCATAAAGTGGTACCTTACCACAGATGACTTTCTATACATTTTCTTTTTTTTTTTTTCTTTTCTAGAATATTACAAACAATACAATACACTAGAAAGTTCTACTTCCACAAAAAAACAATTCTATTTTTAAAAAATATATAAAATTAAATTAGATATTTAAAAAAGCTCATGGGAAAAAAGTGAACAAAATCTCAGATCAACTATTCAACCAGGAATTGGAGCAGTCTCTGTCGGTGTAGGACACACAACTTCAAGTCTCTTTCCCACTGTTCCATATTTCACCAAGTGCCTCAAACAAGAGGCTATTTTGTGCATATGCTTTTGGCTTCCTAACTCTGATTGAAACATTTGCAAAAAATCCACCTTGCATTTCCATGAAACAGGGTTATTTTGACAGAGGGTAAGTTTTTTCAGCGACAAAGCTGACCAGCTCTTCTGGACAGCACAAAGACATCTCTCTCCGAGTCAGGATGAGAGTGCTGTGAACAAAATGTTCATCTCCAAGCTCATCTCCACTGAAGATAAGCCAGCTGGATATATACGTAGTTTCTCCTGCTCTTTGTCATCTTTTGTTAGGCTTATGGGGCAATTTTTATCTGCTGTAACGGTTACTGTATGACCAGACAAGCACAGCTGATGTGACACAGTGCGGCAATCCAGCTGTAGATGCAGACAGAACTAGACAGAATAATTTGAACTATGTAAAGGGGGATCTCTGGGTGCAGGCCTTGTGGAAGCGAGGCATGTGGAACAGTCAAGGTACAAAGAGTGATGAACAGATAAGAAATGAATGCCTTCTGAAAAAAGCACAGAAAGGAAGAAGGACAAAGATACTTGTGATTCAAAATAATGGTTATAATAGACTGGGATTTGAATATAATTTGTAAAATAACTGGTACAAATTTTATCATTAACTACTTGCTATAGGGACACTATTTAAGAAAAGGTATTTGGGTCTTTTTAGATATCTTGATTGATGTAATAAATCATGAATAAACACTTTCAAACTTTCTCCCAACAGCTTCTAAATCACAGTTCATCGCACAGCAAGAAGCACTTGCTACAGTTGAGAAAATATTATGTGTTATTAAGAAATATAATTTAATCTGCACTGGTTGCAAGGATACATAAGCCAAGCTGAACAAATATGAAATCACAGGTAAAAAGAAAATGAAAAACTAATGGTGAGAACAAAACTATATAGAGCCTAGAAGAAAGAAACATAGTTTAAAATGTTAACTATAAAAACCTGATAGATCTATTAACATAGATCACCAATAAGTACTAGAAAAATATGAATTTTCAAACAGAGAGAAAAGTAACATTATGGAAAGAAAAATGACAGAATAGAGAGAAAGCATAAACAAAGTGATTTATTTTTTAAATTAAAATGTGGAGAGTTTACTAAAATGTACAAACAGTGTTTTGTAATTAATGTTTTAAAATAAATATAAATGACAACAAATGTGTAAAGCAATTAGTTCTGAAACAGAAACAGTCTTCATTAAAGACAGGAAACTAAAGCAGCATTTACCATTTGCTTCTTCTTGGATTTGCAACTGTTGAGTTATTTGAAATTCTTCCAAAAAAAACCCCAACAAAACAAACCACAACAAAACAAAGCAGTTAATAAAGGTTCTATCCTTTAATACTAAAGCAAAGAGTTGAAAGAAGAGATGAAAAAGACATTCTAGCCAATATAAGAACACTTTACTTCTCATTCATTCCCTCATTACTTAGTATCACCTATACCCATTATACTATGTAAACACAAAGTGCATTCTCTCAGAAATATAACAAAGGAAGTTGCAGAATGGTTAACTCTGATATTTAAAGTGTAAGTTCAGCCTAGATTTCATCAGAGGAAAAAATTACAAATTACTGATCTTACTTCCATAAAGCTACAATAAACCTTACCTTGAGGGTATAGCTCAATTTCTGAATTAATTACACCTTGGGACATAAATGGAAGTACATTTTCAATAAGAAAGAAAATAAGAAAGAAAATAAGAAAGCAGGTAGAAATCAATTTTTTCTCCACCATATTACCATAGAAGTGAATGATCCACATCTTATTTTCATACTGAATACATATAACAGTAATGGATCTCTGCCTCTGAAATTTCAGTATTTGATTTGATAGATGTTAAAGTAGGAATTATTTGACCGAACAAAGAATTTCATTTGTGCAAACATATGAGCTGTGTAAGTGTAAAATATACCTGTGTCAGATTAAGAGACTTATGCGGCATGACTTTACTAATTTGTATAGCTAAACAGAAGAATATGGCAAAGAACCTTTTTTTTTCAGTACTATGGATTGAGTGCTAAGTGTAATTTGTATGTATCAATTGCACTATTTCTTAAAATCAAAGGTCAGTGTTAAAAATTCAAAGATGGAATCAAATATTGTTCTTCCTTATTCCTCCTTGAGGACAGATAGATGAGTCTGAAAAACTACAAATTAAGGCACATATTGATTAAGTTTCTTAGTCATGTTACTCCAGGCTTCAGATAGCTTTGAAAGCTTTTCATTCAGAACATGGATTACCAACTCTTTTAGCTTCCTCCTGCTTGTTAAAAAATCAGCTGGTTTTCTACAGGGGGAAAAAAAAAATGTACAAGCTTCTGAATTATTGTTTTTTATTTACTCAGTCCACTTACATGGACTATCCAGGAATGACCTAAATGACCTAAATCATTCACTTTTCTAGGAAGCCTGTTGGAAATCCAGTATAAACTGGGAAGGATGCATCCGGAGTGGCTTTTGAAGGTTTCTTATTTTTTGTCTTGAAAATATCAGCAGGCCACTTCATATAAAAACTAATGTCTAAGAAATGAATTTTGTCTTACTACACAATTACCTATTTATATAACTTCTGCTAAAATCTGACTACCCAAATATCTTCTACAATCCTACATGCTAAAACGTATCAACCTGTAACTAACAAATACTTTATAACTGAAATCCAGGGAGAGCTACTGGGTGTTCAGAAACTAACACCAGAATTTTAAGTCAGGTAAAATGCTGAAGTTTCCTTGACTAAATGAGAAAAAATACAGAATTTTGTTCATACCCTAGATCATAAAACATCAATGTAAAATAAAGCTGTGAGGCTGAAGATTAATAAATTAGAGAGATTTCTGAAGCACAAACACTTCCCACCTCCTTGAATAGAGCACAGTGTTTCAGCATTACACTTTGGCCAACACAGAAGCTACCCGGGGCCCCCATCACTGACCTATTTTAACCCTTTTTCAGTGGCAGTGTTCCCTGTAGAAAAGTTAGGAATGAAAAAAAAACCCTCTCTCTCTCTTCTTGACAGTGTCTGCCACTGAATAATTGTTCATCAACATCTGGTGTTAATTATCACATAATTAATACAGCAAAGTGCCCCAACACCCATTGTTCCTAAGCTGTGTTGCCCTGACATGCATCGTCCCTAAGCCGTGTTGCCCACCAGAGGACAGATATGACACAGAGTAGATTGTTCATGATCGAGGGAGGCAGCTGACCCGATTTCTCCGTAGAACTTCCATTAGGAAATTTTACCTCTACTTTTTTAGAAAGGTAACAACCACAGCTAGCAACAACAGCTGGTCTGCATCAACATCTATTCCAGAGAAATCCTGTCTTTTACTACTGTTTAAAAACATGCTACTGATTGAAGAAAGATCACAGTTTTAGAGAATTTTATCAAGGTGAGAACACATCTTTATTCCTGTTTTTGAGGATGTGACATCAAGAGTTGCAAGAAACTGTTCAAGTTTGTGTAATGAATTCATAAGAATCCAGATAACTAGGCATCCTGCATTTAGTACATATTACTGCTTAAATATTGTTAATTAAATATTATTAATTCTAGTGCCTTGTCACCTTGTTTCTCTACACCTCATTTCAGTCAAATGACACACATACTCACAAAACAGACGGCAAAACTGGAAACTTCAAATGTGGGATTACCATAATATTTTTCCAGACATGCAAAACACAATATTTATCAATAGACTTTTAAGATTATTTTTAATACCTTAAATGGAACAATCACAAAATGATTCTGATTTTTGGGCATCATATTTTTCTCTCTAGCAATGTTGCTGTTCATAAAGAGAGTGACTGCTACTTGTGGATGGCAAATCTGTTTTCTTTCCAATTTAGAAATACACTTAATTTAGAACCTTACTATGTGCTTTATCTTTTCTTCCTGAATAGGTAAATCATACTCACGACACTGATCCCTGTATGATAAGGCTGGACTGTACAACTGTAACACAGCCACAGTGTAAGCATTTAAATTTTGCTTTGGACCATACAGCATATTATCCCAAGCAATCTATTCTGGAACAACACATTTTGTGGGTTTTATGAAACTGCAAAAGAATTAAAATTTGTCCTTCTCTGGAAAATTCACATTTAGTACATTGATTGGCATAATACTTAGTAACGCATATTTAAGAATGTTGTCATAAAAACTACCTTTCACAACAGAAAACATATTCCAAGTTGTTCTCAGCTTCTCTGACAATGACTTTATCACAGTACCAATACTGGGATTCGGCATTAGCCTCGCAGCGCAACAGCACCTTCTGCAGTTTTCCAAGAGATACAGCTTTCACTGCAAAAGCGTTGACCTAGAAGACAGAGGAGGAGACAGCACATCGCAATTTGCCGTCACTAAATCCGCCTGAAAGCTGAAGTATTTTAAAAGCCTGATTAACTCTCAAAAGGTACAAAGATTCTTGTTGTTTTTAATGACAGCTGGACTGAATGCAAAGTGTTTGGATCCGAAAGTTACATGTTTTTTGGTCATGTATCAGAGTAAATGAGAAAACACAACTAAAATCAGACTGCAGTAATAATCCCAAATAAATTGTTTTTTCAGTCATCACCCAGAACACTGCACACAACTCTTCACTGTTGTTTGAACACCTCACCACCTACATTTTTTCTTCTCTAGGTAAGAACGAGTTAAAGCTATTATGTCCTTTGTAGATATTTATTTCAAATACAGATTTTCTCATCCTTTTCTCCTTTTGGTCTTGCCTCCTCTATTTATATGTTATTCTGCTGGAAGAGACTGAAATCTGACATGCCACTTTCCCCTTGGTATTCCTTTAGGTTTGAGTTTACAGTTGGCAAAGTTTGTTTTCATAGAAGCATGAAGCTGATCAGGTGAAAGGTTCAGGTTGGTAATTTTCTGTCACAGTAAAAAGCATATAGCATTCTGTCTCTAAATGTAACGGTCTAGGACACACTTCTGAGTAAAAGAAAAATGAAGGAAAGAACCACACTGGAAAATTCACATCTATAAAGTTCTCAGTCCTTAGCAAATGGCACAATTGAAACTGCCTGTGCAACTTTAGTTCTCCCTGGTGTATATGTAATAAATGATCACAAGCTATTCTCTATGAAGGATCCCTGCCTCAAATTATGCACAGGCAGGACTGTAGCTTTTTAATACTTCTTTTTATCTTCATTACCTTGATGACTCTATGCATTATTTACCACAACCACCCAAACATTTCAGTGAAGCAGAACTGATTTCCCCAGTGACTTCTATTTTGCACATTTTCCATAGTACCCTAGCTTTCTGCAAATACTGAAATCTATTTTTCAAAAGGTCATCTGTGCAATACTTCATTTTACCTATATATTTAAAGTACAGAGATTGTCAAAAGCTGTCAACATGCAAAGCAGTTTGGGTACTCAACTGGGAAAGAGAGGTGCTAATTTATCAGCACATTTAGCATTTCAAAGAGCTTGCTATGTCCAGGGTAGAATTCTCTGTGAACAAACCTCAGTTTCAGCAAAGGTTGCTCAGAAAAGTTAAACTGGTTAGGCAGCAAAACAGAAGCACACAAAAAGTGGTCACTCAGGGAAGCCTTACTTTAAGTGGTTTGCCCAATACCACGTAGCATGTTTGTGGCAGGGATTAAATGAATTTGTTAAAGTCAGCACTCAACTACCTTTGTCATAAAATGATATATCCCAGGCTCTGCTCTGCTGCTTTGTACAAGCCACTGCCTTGTTCACTCACTTCAATAACAAAGTACACTTTGAGCCATCCCTCTTAACCCCTGTATAAATAATATGCTGAATTTATTCAGTCTGGCTAGAATAATTCCCCCAGAAAATTCCACTAAAATTCTGAATTTCAATTAGAATAGAACTGTATACCTAATACATTCATAATGGCATAAAATATATATTTTAAAATAGTATAGATACCTCTGAAGTTTTCCAGTGGATGATTTTTATGTTTAGCTTTTTAGATACTGCTTTTTTGTTTTCTAATTAACAACATCTTTATACCATTTGTTAGACATACAAGTGTTAATTCTCAATAGCTCACAGAGGAAGAAACAGGCTTAATAGAAGGTCATAAGAAAGCTAGTGGCAGACTCAAGATTAGATTTAGTAGTCCCTGAAATTCAACTGCAGAAAATCAGGATGATGCATACTTTACTTACGGAGGAGAAAACAGGTAATCAAAAGAAAAAATAATTTTAATCTGTGCTGCATTAATCACAATATTATACTATTATATGTTTAAAAAAATACATAATGAACAGTCCCACCAAGATCTGAAATCATGGAACAATTTCTGTGCAGCCCTTTGGAATGAGCTGTACTCATTAAACCTTGACAGAATATGTTTTATATTCACAGACAGCTCTTCCCATCATCCTAGGGAGCTTCGTTACATCATTTTTTTTCCCCTTTTCCTACCTGTGTTTCCACTCATTCTGGTTACTCCTGGATTAGTGTAAAATTATTTTCCTTAGTTCCTAAAGATTGTGATCCTTTTTATTAGGAACCTATCAAGACCAGTAAAAGTTTTTTAGTTATATTTATATGGCTAAGCAAATTGTTTTTCAGACTTACCATTCCTCTCCGAAATGCCACTGGTACACCGGATTTATGCAGAAGTCTTAGACCAGAATCTCCTCTTTTTCCATAGATACACAGATAAACTGCAGAATCTGTTTCAGCTTGCTCCATGACACCGGTGTAGACATAAACATGGTATAAAACAACTTCCGAAAATAACCAAAGGAAGAAAATACATATGTAATCACAATTCATTTTACTCAGCACTCTAGCTTAATGGAAACAATGCCAGTAAATTTGATTTGCAATTAATTTGCTGGAATATATTCTCCAGAAATCAGCCTATCTATCTGTTTTTAAGATTGCTAAGACCACATTTATGAATATAGAGCAGATGGAATACAATTGAGATGACATGAATACTGAAAATTGGGCAACTGATATATATGTAACTGTGCAACTGAAGTACACACATACTTGGATAGATGGGTTTTCCAGCTTCCAGTACAGGAAGTTCACAGAGAAAATCTCCATCATTATGATTCTTTGACAACCATGTGTTTGTTGGAAAATTCAGTGTTTTCTTGCTCTTTAGATGTTGCAGTGTCACCTAGAGAAGAAGCAATTCCAACTATGACTCAGTTCTCAGTGCTTTGCGTCTCAACAGCAAAACATATTTTTCTGTATCTTTTCTTCTATCTCAGAAAACAATAACACAATCAGCCAATATGACACAAAAAATTGCATTATGAAAACATTTTTATTTGGGCCACTACTTTGCACCTTAACTACTCACTAGAAAGGACCTTTTTTCACACTCATGGTATTGTAGCTGAAACTGACAGCCTTTATTCTCTGAATATGTTTTGAACTTTAAAATCATCTTATTCTTGGAACAAACAAATCTGTAATTGAAATTTCCTTTTTTTGCTGTAAGAAATGTCAGTGATTCTGATTTCTGTCAGTGAACCACCTCTATGTAACACTCTCTGGAGTACTGAACACTGAAAACTTTCTGGTAAGTGAGGTTAGGTGAGACTGAGCTTTTGGAAGATGTGGAAAGACTGACACGTTTTTATATTAAAATGAAAACAGGATGAAAGTCATCATCTACATCCTTCTGAACTTTGGCAAGGAGAGGATTTGTTGAAATGTTAAATCAATTTGTATTATATTTGTCTCTTCTACAGCAAAACAAAAGACATCCTGGGTACCAGTACCGTCTATTTATTTCTCTGAAGATTCCTCTGAATTCAAATTCTCAAGTTATTGGCCACTGTACCTCATGATATCTTTCTTGTCTCCTATAACTAAAGCAGTCTTTCCTCTTTTTTCTGGGAGCAGTTTTCCTTGGTCTTGAATTATAACAATGCTTACTATTTTTTTTTTTCATAGACCTTCACTAGCAAAAGGAAATCAGTGCCACCCAAAAGTTGTCTCTCTGCAGTTGTGTTTTGAATGTGCATACATAAGCCTTGCAAACAAAATTATGAAAACAAGTATTCACATTCAAATTCTAACACTGAGGAAATCAGGACAATATATGTCTTTATCTCACTTTTCCAATAAAATATTATTTTGAGTCAAATAAACACTTCTTTTAACACCAAAGCATGTATTTATTCTAATATGAAATATTTTTGCAGCAGTGATTCTTAATCTCTAATATTTATTGGCAGAGCTCCCCCTGCTGATTTATAACAATCACAAATATTAACTGCTTTGTCAGAAAAGCACAGCTTTCCACCTTATTCATTTCTTTCTGTGAAAAGAAATATTTGAAATCCCAGGGTTACCCTATGAAATTTACAACAAAATGTTAAAAAAATATTTTTTAAGCACCAGGATGGGAAGTAGGATCCCTGCAACTATTTGAGCAACTGAAATATTTTTACTTACATTAAGTTTTCATACAGTTATAGTTAAGGTCTTTGGGTTAATGTAAAAATCTGTTATTACTGTGTAATTCTGGTTGTCTAAATCTGGCATTTTAAGATGAATTAAAGGCCAAAGAACAAGTTCGTGTCTTTTACAGATTCAAAATAAGAAACAGAAGACAAATACTTCTGTGTAGTTCTGAAATAAATCTTACATAGGGGTCAGCATTAGCAAGAATTTAGTATGATATTAATCTGCAAACATCCTTAAATATCACAAGAAAAACAGAGTTAAAAGAGAAGGAGAAAAGAATAATTCATTCATTGAACAGAAAAAAAAAAAACCAGCAGTTTCTTTTTCCCTGAAAATAATCATTACTGTGAGCTATGTTTGGGCCAACTAGGACTAGCTTAGTCTTAAGCAAACTTTGTTCATTCTTCACAGGCACTTGTCATGGGATAATTGTTGCTCTGTCTTTTTTCAATCTTTCATAGTTGGAATTTATTGCTAGAAATTCCCTAACACACACTGAAGAGTACAGGCGAGCTTTCAGAAAGCAAGAATTAGTAGAATGCATCAATACCCTGAAACTGCTACCTATGAACTACATGAATTAGGAATAATTGCAAAATAATGCTACATATTTCCAGCTCTCAGGAGATGGACTGTATCGGTGAAGCTGTCAACTCTAAAGCAACCTAAGAAGACAAAGCAATAAGAATTTAATATAAATCAGCATTTTTTGATGTGTGAAGGTGTAGCTTAATGAAAAGATGGACCTTTAGTTCATATAAAAATTATTAAAACATAACAAATTTAACTATTAAAAAATCTCACCCTTTGTAAGTTCCACTCTGATTGTTCATTCAATAATTCATGAAGTTCAATTCTTATCTTGTAGATATTCCCAATGCTTTTTATTTTAACCTGAATAAAGCCAGAACAGTAAAACATGTAACTACAGACAAAAATATATACAACTTACACTTTAAATGTGTATGGTAAAGGCTGCATGCTGATCAAGTAAGGCAATGCCTTGCAAACTAACACTGTATCCAATTCATGATTAAAAGACATGTCAATCTCAGACTCCCACACATACAGAAGGAGCAGCATCCTAATGGCAAGCACAGGTCTATGGATTCTATACTTAAAACTGTGTACAGCCTTCAGAACACCCTAAAAAACCAAAAAACAAACAAAAAACAAAAACAAAAAACCCTAAATATTTCCCTTCCTGTATTTTCAATCATCATATGTGAAATAACTCAAAAATCCAGTTCTCATTTATGCACAAATCCCATTTGCCCTGTTTTTCTACATTTTGCCATTCATTTAATTTGGGCTATACTTCTTGAAAAAAATATAGCTACATCACATGGTGGGGTTGGGGGGGATACATAAAACTGCATCTTTATCTTTGCTGTTGGTTCCAGATTTCTCTGAACCACTGCAGTATCTGATCATACAAGCACAGCACACAACATTTGATTGGCAGATTTTGGATTATAGGATCCAGAAAAGAGACTACTTCTGTTTTGTCTAAGCAGATTTCTGTCCGAGCCCCAGTTTCACCGGATTATAACCTACTGAAATCACAGTGTTTGCCAGAGAAATTATTTGGCAGATGTTTGAACTCTTCAAAGTTTGAAAAGTAAAAAAAGTTGGTGAGGGCCATTCATGAGAGAAATGTGGAACACAAAATTAAATCAATGAAATCACAGGTCACAAATCTTTCATAATGTAACGTGACCATAAAACCTAGTATGTCAAAGTGAAGGATATAAAACTTTTAGAGACATTGAAGAATAAGCTCTCAAAAGCTGGCAGAACATCAGCAAAACTTTGAAAATCATTGATACTGTCTTCATTTTCTGACTATGATTTGCATTCATTTGTACTTTCTTTGCATTTTCAAGCATTATATATGTTCTTACTTATGAAATCTACTCTATGCAACCCTATCCTATTCCACTTATCTGAGGTTTATTTGAAGTTTAATCATTATTTAAAGTGAGCATAAATCATTTTAGATTATTTGTAATATACTGCTAGGAAAGGAAAAGTAAATGCTAAATAATAATTCCATTAATAAAAGGTTGGTTACAGCCTATTTCAGTCCATCATGTACATCCAAAGAAGCTATTTACACTGTACAAAAATTATTTTCTTTTCATTCTCTTAGAAACACCTAGTAGTATATTATCCACCCATTCTTTACTTTCATTAATAAAGAGCCCTCTTTTCAGAGGTAAGAATTACCTCAGTTCCTGTACCAGCTTTTAGCTGTCTCTTTGTGCTTTTGTATAACAAACTTTTATGCTACAGTCACATTGTTATCATGCTTTAGTCAAAGATTTCTAGAAACAAACAACTTTTATCCTCGATTTCCTTAACATTGAAATTCACTCAGTGAATCGCAATGGTTGGCTGAGAAAGAATCTGAGGAATTCACACCTGTATTTACATTGGTATAGTTGTTACATTGACCTGAATTTCATTAACAAAATAAATGCTAACTCCAGGTTTGCAACACTGATTTGATAATATGGTTCTTGTCTTTTCCATCGGCTTAAGAAAATAGCTTTGTTCTGTGGAGTCAGATTCTATTATTGTTGCTTATGCTGCACAGTATTTCCCTCTATAAGTAGACTTGCTAGAGGTAAACTGGAGACTTTGGGATAAAAGCAGCAACAAAGTAAGGGTATGAAAAAACTGATCTCATTTACCACATTTCACAAACAAATCAACCCACTTCTCAAGTAATATGAGATACTGTCTTCTTGTTCACCGAGCTAGTGTTCACTGAATACACAGTGCTGTCACATTGTATTTTTATTCTAATGAATCATAATTTAGGCTTTTGGTTAAAAAAAAAAAATAAAAAATTACATGATTATTTCATTTATCAATACAAGACATAAACGTACGGAACTTCATCAGAATGCAAAGAGTGAATTCTGCCTGAAACAAGCAGAGGTCTCCTAGAAGAAACCTTCTGGTATCCTTCTTGATTTTCCTCATGCACAGTCATAGAAAGGGTTAAACAGACAATGACTACTCACATGGGTAAGGTAAGAGAGGGAAGGCCACATATGAATGGTTTTCATTTCTCAAGACAGTTTTACTCAAATTTCTCATAGTTGTATATACTGCTGATAAAGTGAAAGGTTAAAGAAAACTGACTCCAAATTGCCTGATTATTACAGGCTTTCAGAAGCTGTTTTCTTCCTAGAACTCCTGGCCAGAGCTATGATTAAGTTGATTAATTTAAAAAATAAAATATATCTTCTGTTCTAGAAAATATCAGTGAGACCATATCAAGCTCAAAGATGTAAATAATAAAAAGAAGATGTAAGGTTTTTTTAAACCTTGCATCCCTAACCTCATTTCAAGACTTCTGCTAAACAAGTGCAGGATAAAGTTTAAAGAGAAATAAAAGAAGAAAGAGCTTACTCATAGGCCTTTTCTTTGTGAATTTATCTACTGCAGACTAAAGAGTGAAAAGCACTTTGGTGACATTTGCGGTTTCATGCCTGAATGCAATAGTGTCAGCATGATGTGAAGAATCATAGTAGTAGCCCCAGGTGCTGAGAGAAAGATTCTGCTCTTTCAGAAGATCAATATCTGCAGCACACAGTCATAATGGGCAACATCTATTTTAGAGAAGAAAAATTGGTCCATCTCTTAAGAATGTATTGATTAACATTGCAAACATGCCATTACCCAATGTTGCTTATAAATTATTCACTAATTAGGAGAACAGGATTCCCCGTGGATCCTAATATATAGCCTACATGCGTAGAAAATGAACATTACAGTTGGTTATCTTCCTGCCTATGCCCTACTCATAGACAGTATTATTATTATTATAGACAGTAACAATCTTGGTTTATGCCAAGATTGTATTAGAAGAGCTGATGAGGGCAGAAAATAAATTTGCACAAAATGGGAAAAACAGTTCACTGAAGACAGCAATGTGATGGATGCATCTCAGACAGAAAGATTTAAGCAAAATAGAAAATTTATCCCCATTGGTAGTTTCCTCTCAGCCTACCTAGACATACTATTCTTATTACAATAGAGGCGGGGTTTATTCTTAAATAATAAGTATCATAACATATAGGTTTTATTGGGCTCTTCATAATTCCACAGGCAAAACTTCTGGCATTTCAGCTACTTACAATATGGCAGTTAAAAAAAAGGTTTTCTTCCTTAACTGAACCAGCTCAACAGCATACATTTTATAGTACACTTTGAAAAATGTATGCATGAAGATTTCATTACTAAAGATCCCTAAATTATATACGAGTCTTACATCAGACACGGTTTGTTTAGGAGTGGACAGTTTCTAAAGCTAGTTTCAAATCAATTACCTTAAAGAAATCAATTTACTTCTGCAGTTGTCCCATTTGGGCTACTATATGAGGGAGAGGGGATTAGAAGAAAGAGCATTTCCTCTATTGCTAACTATATGCACCAAGCTGATGTAATGCAGAATTCAGAGAGAGAGAGAGAGATTTATTGTATGCAGTAAACACATGAGAAAAACATTTTTTCTTTTCACATAAAAGAATAATCTTTGGAAAGGTACACATTAAAATAATGTTCTTAGCCTTCATTAGCTACCTGAAATTCATCCTCCTGCCTGGGAAGAAACAGTTGCTTTCTGTTGTCCTTGCCAAGAGTTATTGGTTCAGCTACTCCTCTGTCTCCATATATCCAGAGAACGACAATTGCTTCAGTTCCTGTGTTTCCTGTCAGCATTGACACTTTCCATTCATCATCTGAAGGAAGGAGACACTCACCACCTTGGGGATTTCTCATTTCCTCTGTGAAATACAGAACATTAGTGGGAGATGAAAATCGACATGAAACTGCCAGTCGCTGTTGTAACTTGAGCACATAAGAAGACCAAAACAGAGAGGGGACTGTATTTCTTCATAGCAAGTGAGATAGTCTGAAAAGATTGATTTATGTTTCTTGTCTAGACCAAAATGTTCTGATTAGTTGAGCTACAAGAATCAACTGGAAAAGAACAAGTATGTCTTAGATGCACTATCATCATATTATTCTTTATACATATTCTGGTACAGAGTAAGGATGCTATGATGCAGAACTGTGGCCATTAAATCGACATTTCTGTTCCTTAGTCTGACATTTAGAAATGAGTAGAATTACTTGCAAATACTCCTCTCGTTCCTTGTGTTGTGAAATTATTAACAGAATCATATACCTGAGAATAGAGAGAATTTTCATTTCAAGTGAAAAAAATCATTCAAGAAATTAACTTTCTTCAAGTTAAATATTAATTGAACGCTGTAAAATACTCAAAAAACCCCGTAATATATCTTTGCCCAACCATACTTGTGCATACAGTGCCAGTATTAGGGCTAAGGCAGATTCAGCACGAGTGAAACAATAGCAGCACAGTCTGGAAGACTACTTCTCAATAATGGAAGCACTGATCATTAAGTCCTCTCCCAAAGAGGGAGTCCTTGCCTCCATGAATTTTTAATCTGTTCTGACACAAGAGGCAGATATAAATCCTAAATTTGAAAAGATGAACCAAGACATTGCCTCTATACTGTGTCCTGCAAGGGTTCCCAAACTGCTCTTCATGAAGCCTTTTCATGCAACTGCAGAGACTTTTTAATATGCTAACCATAATGAATATTATCTGTGCTGCAGATTAATTTTCTTTTGTATCCCCCAGCTCATTCTTCATCCATTAAGTAGCTTGTTATGAAGCAAGCTTTTGGAAGCCAGAGGCTCCAAACACATAATGGAATTCACTTACAATTTTTCAGAATTCATAAATAGCCACTGATATGGATTTGTTGAAGAATTCCCAGTGCAGTGCATCACTCTATGTTCCTGTTGCACTACATATGTTATTATCAGAGCCCTTTGCTTTTTTATTTGCTTGATTAAAATACTGTACTGGGTTTCTCTGGGATGGAGTTTTTCTCTTCACTTGTTAAACTGCTTTCACCACAAATGGGAAAAACAAAACAAAACACAGAAAAACAAGTGATGCAAAAGCAAACACTCGCCCTCAGCAGAATGATGCCCAGCTAGTCCCTGAGGAAATACTATTTTGGAAAAACTCCTCTTCAGTTTTATTGCTGTGCATGACAATACATGGTATGGAGTATCCCTTTGGTCAGTTGGCATCACCTGTCCTGGCTGTGTCCCTTCCTACCCTTTGCCATTGTCCGCCCTGCCTACTTGCTGGGAGTGCTGAGTGAGAAACAGAGCTGTGCAAGGACTGTTCAGCAACAGCTGAAACAGCAGTGTGTTATTGACACTGCTTTGGTCACCAGGCTAACCACAGCACCAGACAGACTGCTATGAAGAAAATTAACTCCATCCCAGCCGAGCCCAGTACAAATACTAAACAAAATAAAACACCTATGATAGAAATTTGCAAAATTTATCTGACTATGTATGGTTGCTAGCATTAAAATATAAGTTTGAGGACAAAGTGAAAAACAGTTTTGAATCCTTGAGACTTGATTCTTTGCAACTTTTATGAGCAAAAAAACTCCACATGAAACATTGCTGAAGAAAATTGGGCAAGTGAAGAAGGATCAATTCAATACTTAGACATGGTCCCAATTTTCCCTTTAAATTTTCCCAAATGCCACTTTTATCATATTAAATAAATGTTTGGGGTTTTTTTCTTAAAATTTGTACTCAAAAGGAATTATATAGTTGCTTGAATCATCAGGTTATCCTATAGGTTAAATCAACATGGTGACTAAAGCACTGAACCTGAATTATGATCCACTAGCATTGAACTCTTAACTGATGTGAAGTAACTGCATAAGGAATTGCAAAGGATTTAGGATCTAGTACAATTTTATATCATAAATAAGGATCAACTTCCAGAATCAGGGGAAATTTCAGCCTTGGTAAAGACTCTAAAATTTGGTTAATATATTTTTAAGAAATACAGAGCTGACTTTTACAGTAGTGTTTCTAACAGTAGAAGTATGACTTTGAAATGGTTATAGTGATTTAGAAACAGGCAATAGTGTCATAGTAATCAAAGTTCTTATTATATTCTTCATTGCAACTAAGTTATACTGAAGAAAAAAGAAAATCCACATTCCAAAAATAAAGCAAAAGGCAAACATCTTGTGCTTACCTGAATAAAAACTTAATTACACTTGTCTTTCAGTGTCTGAAATAACAGAACTATAACAAAGTAATTGCTTTAATATAATAAATACTTTTGAGAACTTGACTATATGAGATTTTCGGTAACTGTAGTTACTGGGATCCTCACCTGGAACTCTGAAAGCCAGAGTTCCCTCCAGCTATCTAAAACCACATCTTTCTTACAGTAAAGATACGAAAATTTTCACAAAATGCACAAGTATTCAAGAAGCAAAAGGAATCCCAGGTTGATCCATATGCTTAGCACAAGAATTCCATACTTGGGCTACTGCTACCCAAAGCAGCTACTGCAACCACAAACTACTACCTTTTGAAAACAATTTTAATGCACAAACAATTCACAGACTTTGAATGGGTTTTGTCTCATAATTTACTAGCTCTTCTTACAAATGGAAATCAGTAGCATTGATTTGCTACAGGCTAAAAATATTCTAGTTTGAAAAGTGGATTTGATGGTTACCCTGCATTAGTCATGGGAGTTTACATGCTTCATGACACCATGCTGTAAATCTATTGCAACAAAAATTCATTCTGATATGGCTACATGAGAATGATGAAGTCACAATCCTTCACACAGTTTAATAAAAATTCACATTTTTTTTTTTTTTACTTATCCTAAATATAAAGCAAAAATAAAATTTTCCTGTCCCATAACATCATATGATGGAGTGACACTTTTTTAAATGAATCATCAGAAAAAAACTAATCTCTAGAGCAGAAACTTAAACAATAAAGTTGATGCATTTTTATTACATCTTTTTGTACCATTTCCAAAGTAAACCAAATGGAAATGAGATCAGATTTTATTTGTAACTTATTTTCTAAGTAAAATATATCAAAAATTAATAGTAACTGACAGTATTCCAGACATACAGGAAAGGAGCATAAAGGGTATAGAAATAATTTCTCAGATACACAATTTGTTAATAAAAAACCACAAAGATGGTCTCAACATCACAGACTGCGTTTGTGTCTTGGAAGCTAATGACATCTCTCCCTTTGCTTTCACCAGAACACACAGGCATATTTTCATCGTTGAAATTCTAACATTATTTGAGAAACACAAGTAACAAGCAAAGAAGAAATCCCCAGTACCAAGTCATTTGGGAATCCCTTAAGAGTCTTGCATGCTCACTAGTCCATACATAATCTGACACAAGTCTATATTTTCAGCAGGGCTGTTGATTTTGGCTTACTCTTGCAACTTAGAAGAGTAAAAAGGGGTTCAAAAAAACTCACAATTTTTGTTTTGTCTTTTTAGTGTCTTCTGCTTCATTTCCTTTATCCCTAGACTTTGAGGTATATATATATATATATTATTTCCCTTCTGCTTTGGGCAGCACATTTGATCAGTCTTGAGTCTATAATGCGGTGTTTTGCAGACATTTTAGGTGACTTGTCTCTGCCACTCATTCTAATATCTTCATCCTGGGAGCTGTTAAGTAGAAGCTGGGACCTGACATCATCCTTCCAATAGTGAAACAAGTTTCTTGGGGAACTGAGAGCTCTCACTGCAGCAGGAGAAGCCCTAACCGCTTCACTGAATGTGCCTCAGTGTGCCATGTGGAGCTAAAGAGTTTCCATTTGCTTTTCCAGGCTGTGCAGGCAGGGTTCTCGGGTACATTAAAATAAAAGAGAAGTAGGAAGCAAACATGATCATCCCCACTCCTTAAGAGATGCATCATTCCCCGTTTTGTTTAGTTCCTTAGTCACACCTTCTTTGGTTACTAGGATGTTGAATACTCCTGTAAGATTTTTGAGTTGGGGAAATTATTGTCTTAGACCATTTATGCAACTTCTGTAACTAAAGAAGAAAGTGGTTGTTTGTTCTAGTAAAACACATCTGTTAGACTATAACTCCAGAAGCATGACTTGAACATTGTTTATCTATTCCTACCTGCCTAAACATAGGTATAAAGGTAGCATGTAGTGCACCAGTGAATCACAATCCTTCCCCTAGTGAATCATAAAGCAGAAAACATAAGTGTGAGAGAGAGCATAAACAAGAAATATTCCATTACTTTCAGTGAGTTGGATTGGGCTCTGTATCACATCAATCTCTTAATTTCCACACAAATAGTCCTTACAACGGATGGCTGCTTACTTTTTTTTTTTTTAAAAAAAAGGTAATATGAAATGATTCCACAGTTACATGCTGATTGTTGCCTTATTAATAAACCACCACATTCCAATGTCCTTTTAAAAAACAATAACCAGTAATATGTAAGTCACTGCAAATATGCATGGAGGATAGGCTTAACACAATAGTTTGTAAACTATTGCTTACTTGAGAGTGGAAAAGTTGAAAGGCTTTGAGGTACTGGCTTCTTGGCTTTTGCTGCTTGGAGTTGAGATTCTCTAAAGTCTTTCTCCTCTTGATTGGGTGCTGCAGATGTTCCCATACGCTCTT